CGCCACTCGGCCGGCCCTGGAATTGCTGTTCATTTTCAATTTTGATGTTGCCAGATTGCCTCTTTAAGTTTGTTCAGCTACATTTTTGTATCTCCAGATATATGTGTCCTACCCTCACTCATTCCAATATTATAGGTGATTTTTTTTATTTCCCTTTTTTCTACTTTTCTTTGCTTTATTTTCTATAGTGAATATGTATTAAGAAAAGAATCACAGGGAAAAATATTTTTAAAAAGCAGAGTTCAGGAATTCCGAGTTCCAGATGGCCCAGTAGTCTCATTGCTAACCCTGTAAACTGGGGTAAGCCATTTCTTCACTAAGCCAGGGGACCTGGGAAATGGGCCCTTTCTGGCCAACCATGTTGTTGTGAAGATAGGAATGTATAGACTGTAGTCATGGGTAGAGGGTGGGCTTGGTATCTTCATCCTGGGGTACCCCCGCTCTGGACCCCACCTATGTTTGGCAAATGCTGGGTTTGAGAAGATGCTGCCTCCTCCTTCAGAATGGCTATGCCAATTTATGTTCTCTACTAGCAGTATATGCGAATAACTATTTTCCCACACCCTTGCCAACATTAGCTATTAGCAAATGATCATTTTTCACAATTTGATGACCTCACTAATTATTTCAGTTCTTTTCGCCTTGGCTTCCCCATCTGTTGAAATGAGCTGTTTGAGGATTAGATAAGCTATTATATATGTTTATTAATTGTTCCTTTCTTGGAGTTTAATTGGACTTAATTGGACTTTGGGTTTACAGTGATATTCACCTGATTCTGAATACCAACTCTGCCATGTTCAAGCTATGTGGCCTTTCGCCCTTGGGCCAGTCACTTAACCTTTCTGAGCCATAGTTTCTACTTCTATGAAGTTGCGTTAATACTTCATAGAGTTTTTGTGAGGAGGAATTGAAGAACTGTGCCTAGCAACATGCCTGTCACCTAGTAGGTGCTTGATACATGTTATATTATTTGGAATTCAAGTTTTGTCCCTCCTCTAAGCCACAGGAAGTGAGGACTCTTAGGTCTGTATATAGAGTATACAGAAAGTGCTACAAAGAACCTCTTGCAAGGAGCTTTGGCTGCAGGTTACCACAATTTGCCATGGATTCCAAAACTTTCAAACTACCTGGAAAGGTGTCTATGTGGGATTACCTGGTGGCACACCCGAGAGCATGAAAGAAAGTCCCAGCCTCTCAGAGGTTTCTGAGAAGGCCACGAACCTTTCCCCTACTTGGGGGTATATCCTGCTTCCCTGGGTAATGGGTAAAAGAACATGGACTTGAAATCAGGGAGTCCTAACTTCCAGAGAGCCCTAGCTGTGTGACCTTGGGCAAGTTGCTTGACTTCTCTGAGCCTGTTTCTGAGAAATGGGAGCTAGGGTTGTTGTGAACATTAAATGAGATCATCTTTGTAGAGAACATTAGGAAGGTGCCTGGGTCATGGTCAGCACTCGACAGAGTTTGGGGCGGTGTTTGCAGCCAGTGCCAAAGGAGGGAGGAATCCAATTAGACATGCCTTTCTTGGATCTTTGTATGATTTTTGTATGGTAAGGAGCAAAAGGAAAAGAGGTTAGCAGTCTGGGAGGAAGGTGAATTAAAACTTTGATGGCTCATTTTCAAAACCCCTGTATATCTAAAGGGGTGATGTAGTATTTCACGGTGTCTTATTAAAGATCAAGGTGTCTATATTTGTAGTTCCTCATGTCCCTATTAAAATCTATATTTAACATTGAAAAATAATACTTGCACATGTTTTAAAAAAATCATATAGTACCAAAGAATAAAAATTGAGCTTTTCTCCTACCCTGGCCCAAGTTCACGTCCATGTTAGCAATCAGCAGTTTCTTGTGACTCCTCTCAGATATCACCTGTGCAAGCACAGCAAAGCCGTATAGGAATGCATATAGATTACTGCAGCAATGCAGTATGAGAAATAATTGCTCCATGGTGTCCCTCCCCCTTTTACCTCTTCCCATTATTCTGCACTTTGCTTTCTTCATTGATCAGATTACTCTGTAACCATACACATAGATCAGCCTCATTTTCTCTGACAGTCCACTGTATTGTTTCTACCCAGTCCCATATAGCTCGACAGCTGGGTTGCTTCCTCTTTCTACTACAAGCAGTACTGCTATGAATACTATTACACTAGGTCTTTGTTCACAGGTGGGAGTTAAAGGTACATACAGGCACAGGTTTTTCATCACCCTTCATGAATGATTAGCTGTGTTTGGGAAACACTGGTGCAGATGCTATCCTTAGGATCATTCCATTTTTTTTTTTAGCTGAGCCATCCTGCCACCTGTTGGCAGCTCAGCGGCAGCTCAGCTCCAGCCAGGAATTGAACCGATGACCCTGTTGCTCAGAGCTCGCCCTCTTGAGCAAGCTCTTAACCACTTGGCCAGCTCTCCTTAGGATCATTCCTTGCCAAACATTTCCTACCACCCTTCCATTCCCTCCACCAAACTGTATTTTCTGGAGTCTTCTCCAGGTTCTTCCCACCCTGATTCTCAGAGCTTTGGGGAGAATTGGCAGAAAGAGAGGAGGAAGTAGTATACTGGAGGGATTTGCACATTTTGCCTGGCAGTGGAAAGACCAGGAGGAGGCTGGGACTCTCCCTTAGATGACTAAGATGACTAGACCATGGTTTCTCAGCCTCAGCACTATTGACTTTTTGGCCAGATAATCCTTTGTCATGAGGGGGGGAACTTGGGTGCATCCCTGGCCTCCGCCCACTCAATGCTAGTAGCCCCTCTACCCAGTTGTGACACAGCCATATAGATGTCTCTCAGGAGGCAAAATCTCCCTTGCCTCCCCCATCTTGAGAAGCAGTGCTCCAGACAATTCATTGGTAGTTAAATTACTCACTGAACATTTACCAAATATCCAACATCTGGGTCCTGAGGGTTTATGATCTGAGTGGGTGAACTACCACAGGAAGATGCCAACTTGCTCTGTCCTGTGGAAGACAGGCAACAGCTACCTGAAGGGTCTTGTTCACATTCTCCCTCTGGTAATCCATTCCTCTTTCCTTCCTTCCTTTCTTTCTACCTCCCGTTACCCAGCACAGCACACGAACAGTCTCATTGTGTCATAAAACTTTCAAATAATACGTTATTCTTATTGCTCCCAACCTAGGGGATTCCCTAGGAGGAGTGACTGTTGTTTTAAATTTAAAACTCTTCCTACACACTTAGATACCTATTTTAACATACAGAAATCAGTTTTGTTTCGTTTTTAATATAAATGGGAATTCACTGTATGCGTTGTTGAACTTAATTTTTTTTCAATTAACAATCCAGTTAACAGTTGGAGACTGTCGTCCATATTTATATAGTTTCTACCTCATTCTTTTTTAAACTGCTGCATAGTATTCTGTATTATGTGCATATCACCGGTTAATCAGTTTGCAAATTGATGAGCAATTATGTTTTCAGTATTTAAATATTTTAACAAAGCTGACAGTATTGTAGTGAACATCCTGATACATGCCTTTTTGTAAAAAATATGTGTCTATCAACCAAGATGTGGGATATACACAATTTTAATAGACTGCCAAATAGCCTTACAAAAAGATCTGTAATCACTTAAAATTCCCTCCAAATGGAATTAAGAATAGCCTTGACCCCCTCCATCAGAGGCCACCCGGGTGAAATTACTAATCTGTGAATTTAAAGTTTCTCCCATCTGCCCTGATTAGCGTTTCGATTTGGAGAGTCATCTTGTCTAACGTAAATTTCTTTGTTCACCTTTAAGAGACCTTTCAAGGAGCTTTCTTCCACTGCTCTCAGAGTGAAGTTGAAATTCTTCAGCATGGCCAACACGATCCTGAAGGTTCCTTACTTCAGAAAACCTTTAGCAGCTTCCTGGTCTGAACTGAGTTCTCTCCGTTATCTTCTCCTAGACACCTGCTCCCCGATTTTGGGAGCTCCCGGCCCAGCGCGGCGCCCCGGTCTGTTGAATGGGTGACAGCGAGCAGGGACAGCGTCTTGCTCACCGGATCGCAGCCCTTGGATACCAATAAATGCTGAATGAGCGCGGCCGCTGCGGGGGGGAGGGGGGGGGCGCCGGGACGCTTTCACCTCGTTCTTGGGGCCAAGGAGGCGAACAGGGACGCGCCCAGATGCCACCAGGCTGCTGCCCACGCCCCCTCTCTCCCTACAAAGACGCTCCACGTGCTTCATTTCCAAATTTCTCTGCAAAACTTAACGGGAGCCCCTCCCGCAGGGTCACATTCCTAGAATAAGAACTGACCGAGGCGTCTCTATGTGTTTCCATATAAAATGCTCATGGTGACCAACAGAGGGCCCAAGAAAACACTGAGAGACGTGGACAGGACCAGGCTGGAGCGCCACTCAGCTCCCGAACTGCTTCGGGAAATCTTCAGGGTGTCCGTATAGGAGTTTGACAAGTTACCTTTTAAAGATGGGAACGACTTGAAGAAGTAAGCCCCCACACCCACAGCGACTAGAAAACTGAATGACAATGGTGGTGACGCACAGGATGTTGCACTGAGGCCCAAACTGATAGGGCAGTTTACGAACTACTGTCCCTCGGCAAAAACAAAAAGGGAAAAACCTCAGTGAACATCCACCAGCCAACCTTCCGGTCGACCTGCAGCAGTAGACTTGCCAAGAGCAGCAGGGCAGAAATTTGCTTCTCCAACTCAACAGCAGTTTTAACGTGCTACTTTTTAACAAGACCTTAGATGCATAACGGGAGTTACTTTCTCCTTTGGCTTTTTCCTTAACAGTTGCCCAACGATAGTGCTGACTAACGGTGAGAGCCAGCAAATACCCTTAGGCATGGAAATTAAAAGTTAGAAGAAACGAACAACGGGAAACTTTACCACTTGGTTTGCCTCGTACCAAACTGTGCAGAAAAGGCGAGAGAGGGGCCTCAGGGCTGGACCCAACAAGCGAGGGAAAGAAAGCAAAGAGGAGACTCGGGACCAGGAGAGCCTCAGAACCGCCCCAGAGGGCACGGCGGCCCTGGGGCTCCGTCTCCTTGGTGCAGTCCAACCCTCGCGTCAATCAGCTCCTTCTCGCGTTGCGATTGGTCGGGGGCCTCCTTGGCCTCCCTGACGCCCACCTCCTAGTTGCTTGGGGTTTACTTCCCCAAAGTACACGGGCCCCACCTTGTGGAGCAACCGCTCCTGCATTGGAAAACGGATCTCCGCCCAGGGGAAGACGTTTTAACGAATGGGATTGGCCCCATGCATTTGTTGGCTACTATGGGTATCAGTCAAAGAATTTCCCACCCTCCTTTTCACCGTACCTTGAAGTAATTGGTCTCTGTCTGTGCCAATCCGTTACTAGGGAAACGAGATCCTCATAGTCTCATAGGCATGAGTCAAAGCCAATCAAGAGCCACGCCTTCATCCTGAGTCAGTGCCCAATTGCTGGTCGAGGAGCCCAGAGGACGCAGTCGGGATTGGTCATCAGCCTGCCCGACCTGGCCGCAACAAGTTAGGTTGAGTGGCATTTATATAGACCGGCGACGGAGCACGCGTGTGTGCGGACGCAGTTGCGTGAGGGGCTTTTGCCTTCTGTCGTGCTGTGGAGCAAAGCTTGTTCCTTTCCGGCTCAGCAGTGCAGGTCCGCTGGGCTGTGGGCTGGGCGGGGCGGGGCGGCCCGGGGTCGAGGATGAGCCGGGGCGGTTGTGAGAGGGAGAAGTCTGAGCGGCGCCCGCGCGAGTCGCGCCCTCACCCTCCCCCCCGTCAACGGCCGCAGGCGGCCGCACGGGCGCGCGGAGGCTCTCCGCCCCCCGGCCGGCGCGCGTGGCCGTGTCCGCCGCGTGCGCGTGCCGCGCCCAACGGCCACGTGGGGCGAGAGCGAGCTGCGGCCGCCGCCCCGGGCCCCAGGGCGATCTCGGGGGCCTGGGGCCCCGCGCGGCCGAGTGGCCAGCCTTTCCCGCCCGTTCCCTTATCCACGAGCCAGCCGAGTCTTTCCTCCCCGGCGAGGAGCTTTAGCTTGACCCGGACGAAAGGTTTTTATAGGGGGTGGGGGACGCCACGAAAGTGCGATAAGAATTTTCGATCCGGGAAGTATTATAGAAGTGTTGCGCTAGGGTTTTGCAGGGAGTCAGAGGGAGTACAGCGAGTGCATGGGTAATGAATGGTAATAACAGCTAATGTTTTTTTCGAAGCCCTTATTGTGTGCCAGGCACTGTGCTGAGCAACTTGTGTGCCTCTCAGTCACTCCCACAACGACCCGATAAGGTAGGTAAACGATGATTCCCTCATTTTAACAGCGGACTCAGGCCCAGAGGTGGAGTGACATGGGCAGAGGCATACAGACGGTAAGGGACAGGTATTTGTTTAAACCCAGGCCACCTGACTCCTAGTCCCTGAGCCTGTTTTAGTCTTTGTTCCAGCGCCCTGTGCGGCCCTAGGGCACTTTGGCCCCCAGAGCAGTAGTCCTTAGGGGACAACATCAGCCTCCAAAGGCCAACTGCTGCGAAGACTGCAGTGGCATTTGTACTTGAGCCAGTTAATGGGCTTCCAGGGAGACGAGTTGGACGTGCGATTAAGACAAAGGGAAAGAAAGGGTTTGGGCTTCCTTTGTGCATGTAGTCGCATAGATAGCTGATGGATGTGCTGCCCTTAAAAGCTTCTGGATAAAGTATAGAATAAAATGAAGAAGTGCAAATGAACATGGATAGTGTTCCTTCTCAGATTTGAAACTCACAGCACGCCGATGGGAAATTCCCACCAGCAGGAAGTTAGGCTCCGATATTAGACCTTGAATCATTTTTCTTCTTTTTTTAATCGAAGCAGACTTGTGAGAAAGACATTTGAGAACATAGTTTCACTTGTTTTGTAATTGAAGAAAATGAGGCTCGGAGCAATGAGTTTCAGATCTCATCACCGTGTGTAGGTTAATATTTGAAATTGGAATGGAAAGGATGGTATAGCATAAATGGGATCTCTGTGGAGCTTATGCTAGGTGAATGAATTACAGGTGGGTGATTGAGATGTGTCGGAAATCTCACCCTTATGGCAGTTGGGATATTCTGTTGGATGCATGCGTGTCTTAAATTCATTTATTTAGCATTTACTGTTAGGCTCCTGTATACGAGTATATGTAAACGTAGAAGACACTCCAAAGACTTGGGTTTATATTTTTCTAGTAGAGTTATGTTTTAGATTTTTAAAAGCCAGTATACTCCTTGGCTTAATGAGAGAATAAAAAAATGTTGCTGTGTTGCAGGCCCAGGTCATTATTTTACATGATAAATGTCTCTGAGATAAAACTACAATGAAAGTTTTGGGACAAACTCTGCTGAATTAATTTTGATTGGAATGGCTTTCCACCTTTTTAAAAAATACATTTATTTTGTTTGTACAGACATTTTTTAGGATAGCTTTTAATTTGCAGTCAGAGCACGCACTTTTTACATTTACAATTTGTAAATAAATTTAAAACTATGAGGAAGCTTAATATTTATGTTTCCACTTACCTAATACTTTCCATGTTTCTTAACAAAGTAGCAATAGATAAAGGATTGAAATATTGTATGGACAAGTTCTTAACCTCTGTTGGTGTTGCCATAAGTAACAGTTCTGTAAGAATATAACATTGTTTCACTTGAAACTTGCCTTCCTGTAGGAATTTCAGTAACCTGAATTTAGACACCCCTTACCTATTGAGTTAGCATTTTTAGTTATCAAATGTTAAAAGTATAATGACCTACATTTAAACTCTTAAGTTTGAGTCCAGCTAATTTTATTACTACTCGAGGTAACAATATCACTGAAATTATCTTATGCATTAATTGAGGGAAATTTTTGTTACTTTACCTTTCAAATATATATTTTTTTCTTACATATATATAAAAAACCAACACAAAACCACTGTTCTTGGCCTCAGGCAAAGGTTATCAGTTGAACAGGAATATGAAAACTGGTGGTTCACAAATTGGTAGCCCAGCTGATCTCTTGTGTTTTCATTTATCAAGGACAAATGAATCGAAGCAAATTGTGATAATACAAGATTTGGGTGCCTCCCTGCTTCCTAGCCAAGTTGGAGGTTACTTCTGTTGTTAAATCCTTTCAGTCTAAGCTTTTGTACCTCTCTTAACTGGTAGAAAAGGAGGCAGTTCTTTGTTCTTTATTTAACTCACATTCACTTTGCTGTTCTCAGCTGACAGTCTGCTAGGGAACATCAGGAGATTGGTAATGTTTGTTGGTGACCTACTTTGCAGCAGTTTTTTGTAATTTACATTTTTTAACTTGTTTTAGTGATTTGCATAGAAAGTAAAAGGCAGAGGTTCTAAATTATTATAGGTTTGTGAATTTTGTATGGTTCTTAGGAGAATGGATGGGGCAATGTTTAATTAAAAGATGAGATTTAATATTAAAGCCTGAATTTGTGACCTAAACCAGTTTTTTATTTTTCTTTTTGCCAGGTTAATAAAATTACCCTCTTGATCGTCAACATTTTGCAGTTAGCCTGGTTTAAAAAAAATAACATTTCAGAATGTATATATGCATTATGTATTCATTTAATTGAACATAATGCTTTGGACAAAACTTGTTGACTTTACTGAGGGAGATAATTGTCAAAGCAGGTAGGTTAAAAAAACTGCTTTTTCCCCACCCTCTGGCTAGTCATTTGTTAACATCTAGTGGGCAAAACCTTTAGTGCAACACTGTCCTTCCAGCCATGGAGTTAAATTTAGATTCAGCAACTGTAATCTCACTTGTAGTTGGTGTTCACACTGTAACAGTTAGCTGGGTTTATGTTTTTACGTCTCAAAAATCAACTTTCTGTTCATACTCAAAAAAAAATTTTTTTTTTTAAGTATTCTTGGACATCCTGCCTAGCTTTGGTTGGGAAAGCTAAATTGGAAGCCAGGTGATATGGTGAAGAGCTAGGAATCATTGGCACATGAAGAGTGGTGAGTGGGCTTTATAAAGCAGAAAGTAAATAATAAAAAAATTCTCTCACAGACTGTTGCCTTAGTAAATAAGGTCTTTAGGTGACTTAATGAGATGGGTTCCCCCTTCTGTCCTTAGCCCATGTGTCATTTTTATAATATTGCTTAGCTGTTAGCCTGTGTGCTATATTTCAAGTATTTAATAAAAAGTAAATATTAGAGATGGTTCAGAGAAGGAAAACTGGCTTTCTGGATGGGACACACTTCTGTTTTGCAGGGATGTTAACGTTAAGTGGCTGTGTAACAGCATCATGTATTTGTATAGCACCTTTTTGTAAAAGTCCTTTCATGTATCATAGGGTTTCTCATGTTTTTACTTAGGAGAGACCTGATAATCTGAAACCCAAATAGTTGTCTTAAACTCTTTTGTAAAGCATGTGGTGTACCTACTAGGGAACTGGATAGATAAGTGCTAGCTATTTCTTGATTCAAAAAACTGGATGGATTCTGTCCTTCCAGGCCCTTTTGGGCTGCTCCCCAAGTACACACTGTGTGGACTCAGCTTGCTCTTGGCGTTTCCTGGAGCTTATCCATCTATGCCGAATGAGATCTGGAGGGCAGGAAATGCATGTTTTTAGGAATTTCATTGATGAGGCATTAGTGTTAAGTATGAAGTATTTTCATCTTGATGAGAAAGGACAGATTGTTGCTTAATTATAAACTTAGCTGACAAACTTTTAACTTTGGAGTGGGAAAGAGATGCTAAAAACCAAGAAAAGCTAGTGAATTGTTAAGTTTTCTAATTCCTATCTTGAAGTTTATCTTTCGGGGAAATGTGATTTTCAGATAATTTTAGGTTTACAGAAGAATTGAAATGTAGAGATGTCTCATATATCCTTCACCCAACACCCATAATAGTAACATCTTACATAATCATGGTACATTTATCAAAACTAAGAAATTGACACTGTAAAACACTGTTTACTAAATGATTGACCTTATTTGGATTTCCCTGCTTTTTCCACTAATGTCCTTTTTCTGCTCCCTGATCCATCTCAAGATGCCACATTCATTTAGTCTCCTTAGTCGCATCTCTGGCCTGCGAGTTCCTCTTTCCTTTGTCTTTTATGAGCTTGACCCTTTTGATCTCAATTTGGGTGTGTTTGATGTTATGAGTAGATTGAGGTGATGGATTTTGGGGAAGAATACCATAGGTGACTTAGCCTTATCACATCAGGGATACATAATATCATTACTGGTTGAATTTAACCTGATCACTTGATAAAGGTGGTATCTACCAGGTTAGTATTTTCTCCCTTTGCATATTCCGTCATTAGAAGCTAGTCACTAAGAGGGAGGTGAATCTGAATTTGTGGACATACTAAAGATTTGGGAGGGGACACTTTGAATCTATGCAAATATTTTGTTTCTCTCAAGTCCCACTCGTCCGCCCCGCTTAATTTTAACATTTATTAGTGGATCTTGCTGTGTCTATTGTGGTTCTAACGGTGGTTCTTTATTTCCCATGCTCCTGCATTATTGGGCATTCTTCTGTAAGGAAGAGTTATTTCTTCTGCCCCATTTATTTATTTTTTTCTTAAGACTTTATTTTCTTACCCATTAATTTTTTATTTAGTCATTTCTTTATATCAGTATGGACTTGTGGATCTTGTATTCTTTGGTTTGTCATCCTAAACTTATTTTTGCTTACTTTATTGCTTGCATTGTTCTAGTTTCGGCTTTTACTGTCCTTTTGATGTTCGTGTTCCCCCCATGCCTTTTTTTTTTTTTGTATTTTCTTTCTTTACCAGGTGCTTCAGGCTCTTCTTGTATTTTGCCTGTCCTGCCCTGGAATCAATCATTCATTGTTCCAAGGAGTTGTCAGGAAGAATTTTGAAGGGAGCTGACAGGTGGCAGATGTGAAGAGTTTGGAAAATAGATTGAATCCGGTGGTAGTGATCCCGCTTTTGCTCTGAGCACAGATTTTTGGCTTCTGTATTAAAAGCTTCTCTGGGACTGAGAAAATGTCTTTGTTTTTCTAATAACTAATCCAGAATTCAGTATTTGAATACATAGCATAACCTTGCAAAAACAGGTATGACAGTTTATACTCATGTTAGTACACACAAACCCTTATTGTTTATTTTCCCATAGTGTTTTTTATAAATTATTATTAGTATATTGGGTCGTTGGGAAAGTCATGACGTACGTATTTTTCTATGTTTTTCAATGCAAAAATGTGTCATGACTTCCTTGACGACCCAATAGAATAAAAAGACCACTTAAGTGTACCATTGTACCCAGAATTGATAGTTAATTAACATTTAGC